AGATTAGATATACTTTATTTGATCTAAAATATTGATGTGTTCAAATCCTCTTCACCAAAACACAACTGAAGTATTGAAAGTCCATGAAACTTGTCTTTCTGTATTTGTGAATGAAGCGCCATCTCATGGTTAAATCCTGAAATTGAAAATCTGGCAACGCCCTCTTGGAAAATAGTGGGAGGGCTTAACATTCCCAGCCGCTGGGATCCCTTGGGTCTTTGGCTGGAGTCCTTTCTAGAGTGCTACATCTGTCATATGTCACATATGTCCCGCCCACTTTGTATTGCTTTTGGCTCAATAGTCTGTCAATTACACCTTTTTTTTCCAAATGCCCTAGAAGATCTCCAACAACAGACTGGTAGAAGATCTCCAACAACAGACTGGTAGAAGATCTCCAACAACAGACTGGTAGAAGATCTCCAACAACAGACTGGCAGAAGATCTCCAACAACAGACTGGTAGAAGATCTCCAACATCAGACTGGTAGAAGATCTCCAACATCAGACTGGTAGAAGATCTCCAACATCAGACTGGTAGAAGATCTCCAACAACAGACTGGTAGAAGATCTCCAACAACAGACTGGTAGAAGATCTCCAACAACAGACTGGTAGAAGATCTCCAACAACAGACTGGCAGAAGATCTCCAACAACAGACTGGTAGAAGATCTCCAACATCAGACTGGTAGAAGATCTCCAACATCAGACTGGTAGCAGATCTCCAACAACAGACTGGTAGCAGATCTCCAACAACAGACTGGTAGAAGATCTCCAACAACAGACTGGTAGAAGATCTCCAACAACAGACTGGCAGAAGATCTCCAACAACAGACTGGTAGAAGATCTCCAACAACAGACTGGTAGAAGATCACCAACAACAGACTGGTAGAAGATCTCCAACATCAGACTGGTAGCAGATCTCCAACAACAGACTGGTAGAAGATCTCCAACAACAGACTGGTAGAAGATCTCCAACAACAGACTGGTAGAAGATCTCCAACAACAGACTGGCAGAAGATCTCCAACAACTTGCTGCAGCGATCCCGTAGGATTCTAGTACCTGTAGTGAGGTGTGACCCTACCTAAGTGTCAGTGTGGCAGTCGTGCAATCTTACCCTAAATCAGGAGAGGACAGCGCAGAATTCATTTAGGTTACCCCAGTCCAAATGGGTGGGATGGTTTTATTTGAAGAAATGGTCCACACTCTAACACAGTTTTTTATTTATCTGGTTACAATGGGACAGTTATACAATGTCTCACTCTCTGGTATTAATTATTAATTTACCGGTTTACATGTTTTCCTTTTTGTTAAAACTCCCTGCATATCTCCAGAGGCATTTCCTCATGATGACAGCGAGTAGATAAAATCTAGGGAGAGATTCCCAGTTAAGAACCCTAAGACCTGTTTTCCTCTCTCAGCTGCTGCTTTTATATCATACCAGCAGAAGCAGAAGCGAATACACACCAACAGACCCATGTATGTGGAGAAGAGTCATTGCTTCCTGGACATGTCCAGACTTGCCTCAAAAACTAAACTAAAGCTTACAGTAATATCCCATTGAGTCAGGGGCCTCCTGCTGTGAGAGTAAGGGTGTCTTCCCTCTGCTGAATAGTGACACCTTTAGTGATAAGCTATATCAGACCTTACACTCTTTCATGTCAGTTTACCAAACCGTGTACATTTAGTATATAAGTATAGAGCTTCGTGACATATCATGCATTTTACATTGTGGATTCTACAAAATTATATTTGATTATATTAACTTTCGTTTTAATTATATAACCCAATATGGAAACCTCCTCAGACTCTGGTTGTAAATGTTGCCGGTTCTGGTCCTCCACAATCCTCTCTTTACTTGGACCAAACATTTTTTATCACAAACAGTCGAGTTATCGCTTTATATACGACTTACTGGGACTTACCCAAAGAGTTTAAAGGGCCCATGTCATGGCCCTTCCACTGATTCCTTAATTCCATTGTTGAGGTATACTAAAATAGATTTATACTGTGCAATTTTCCAAACTCACATTGGTTTCGCATACAGCATCTCTGTAAAGTATGTGTATTCAGCAGTATTCACTCTCTCCACTAAACGACTCGTTGGAGCTCTTGCCCCCCCCTCCCTGTGAGCCTAGTGTGCTCCAATTGGTCAGCTCGGCCACTCTGTTCTGATTAGTCAACCACCAGAGAGGCTCCGTCCGCTTTTTTCGGCTCGCTCTCAGCAGAACATCAGTGTAATAATGGCGTCGGTACAGCCGTATATTTTATACGCTAACTAACCGAACTGTACCTACAACTGTTGTTATAGAAGAGTGTGACGGCCCCAGGGCCTTTGTGCAGGTGTGTTGCAGGTCTTACGATGGGGTGGAGCTGAAGAGGCTAATCAGCGCGATCACGGACACCTCCGGAGCCGAGGTGCTATTAAGCCCAGCTGCCCGGAGTCACACGGCAGCCCGTCTCTCTCCAAAGCGGCTCAGCGATCCTCTCCCCTCGACCACCTATCTCTGCATTTACCACAATAAATGTGCCGTGGTTTTGTAAACTCGTGTATGTCTCGTGTGTGTATTTTTACCTGTAATAAACTACTACTGTTTGATGAGAAATCAAATCATGGTTTGCTATATATGAATGATAAGTTATAGGAGCAAATAATTCAGGGAAGAAAGGATAGGGCTACTAAGTATTTCCATTAAACTTTATTTTTAGAAATGTACAAAATGAACATAAATATATATATATATACACACGGTATATCATCCATTCCTCCCCGCATCTTGCCTGGTCGCAGCCGGTGCTTTGAGGCCTCAGTAGTAGTAGTCTCGTCCGCCAGGATCTGGCTGGACGAAATCAAATGCAAAGCACAAAATATTAGAGAAACTTAGTTGTTTTAGATTCGTTAGAAGTAGTTGTGGTAGGAGTGTGGATCTATCTAATCCATCTAATGAACAGCTTGCCAGCTAATATGCTAACCTAGCTTTCTTGTTTACTTTGGTAGCTAACACGATATGAACGCTAGCTCGGAGGAACGGCAACTATAATGTAGTGTAATAAAACTACTATGAACAAAAGCTAGTGGTTCATATTAGGCTAGCAATAACGTGTTTATAATTGCAATCTTATACGGGTAGTCTGCTACGTTCGGTCATACATTGTAACTTGCATGAATACATTGTTTTGCGCTAGCATGTATAGCTAGCCTCGTTAGCTATACATGCAGTATGTACATGTACTGTCACAATGTACGGTAAATCACCCGGAGTATACTGTATGAGTATTCCGTGTGTGTGACTGCAGACATTCTCCTGCCATGACAACATGTAAGGCCATCTGCTGACATTGTAGTTGATATATTTAAACGCTAGCAACGTAGCATAACACAAATGTTTTTCCGAGCAAACCCATGTCTAGCTCCGTTGGTTAGATCGGTAGCATACACGCTACGCCAGCTATAATGTAATTACGTTTCGCGACTGACCGTACGGCAAATCACCCGGAGTATACTGTCAATAGGTATTTTGTGTGTGAATGCAGACATTCTCCTGCTATGAGATACATGTACTGTATGCAAGGCCATCTGCTGATATTAGAGTTGATATATGGAAACGCTAGCAACTTAGTTAGCACAGTTAGCACTGTGTCAATGGCTTAGCAGTCCGACACAGTTTACACATTTAAACAGTCTTGTTTGATAAATACACAAATAACAATGCAAACTTACTGGTTGTGTACCCGGATCTTCCCCTGCTCCAAACGGTCCAAACAAGCTGTGCATATCCGGCCTCAAACTGGGCAATGTTTTGGAAGCTTTCGTCTGTGAAATGCCGGTTCTTCGAACCTCTGAAGGAACAGTGTTAAAAAGAAATGTCAACCACTGACTTCGTCGTGGTTCTTCCGTCGGTAGGACAAACAGCTCAGATTTCTCCTCACATTTCAGGAAACAGGTCCTTGGCAGTGGCATGACTGGATCGATTGTGAACTGAACCAAAGCTTCCAACAGTAAATGTTAGGCTGGCAGAGGGTGCGGCCAGCGCCGCTGGGTGTGGCCATAGCTCTTCGGGATTGGTCCATTTCGTTCCGGGTACCGCATGACATCATGCCGTACCCGGAACTAAATGGAAGACTCAAATGGGCAGTGACGTATCTCCAACGAGGCGTTTTGGGGAGGTATTTTCTGTGTTAGAGTTTTACTCGCTACAGGGTGTACTTTGAGGGTTTTGACTCTGCACACCGTTCACATGCATAAAAACCTTCATAACACAAGGGGACCGGTAATAACCGGAAAAGCATGACATGGGAGCTTTAAACCTAACAATAATCACTGTCTTCAGTCTCAGGTTCAGAAGAGTGTTGGAGTCGGGAGGCCTGTTAACTTATTCCGGCAAATTACTCAGACCTACTAATTGACCTAACAGAAGCTATTGAGTCCATGTAAGTTTACTGCTTGGCTCAGATCCACCAAGGTCTGCTGTTTCAATTCAGACGGCACGCTAAATCTGTTTAAGCGATCCCAAAGGATTTTGGTATCAGTAAGGAGATGTGGCCCTACCTAAGTGTGAGTGTGGCAGTTGTGCAATTTTACCTTAATCAGGAGAGGAGAGCGCAGATTTCTTTTAAGTTAGTTACCCCAATCCAAAAGGTGGGATCAGTTTATTTGAAGAAAAATGGTCCACACTTGTACAGGGTTGTTACCTTCTCTCGTTACAACATGACAATCATACAAAATATATCATGCTGTGGTCCTTTTCTAATATGAAACCACAATTCACAGTTTTACATTTCTTACATAAAATTCTAACTTCAACTGGCCCACTTCAGTTGTGACATTAAAAGATAACTTCAACTGCCCTCTTCAGTTGTGACATTAAAAGATAACTTCAACTGCCCTCTTCAGTTGTGACATTAAAAGATAACTTCAACTGCCCTCTTCAGTTGTGACATTAAAAGATAACTTAAACTGCCCTCTTCAGTTGTGACATTAAAAGATAACTTCAACTGCCCTCTTCAGTTGTGACATTAAAAGATAACTTCAACTGCCCTCTTCAGTTGTGACATTAAAAGATAACTTCAACTGGCCCACTTCCGTTATGATATTAAAAGCTAACTTCAACTGCCCTCTACAGTTGTGACCTTACCAAGTTTGAGAGAACCTACCAAGGAGAGAGCTTACCAGGGAGAGAGGGGAAAAACCCCCGCTCCCTCGCTTTCACTCTCTGAGCTGGTGTTTTTATGCTCACACAGTGTTACAAGCTGGCTCTGCTTGTAACAAAAGGAGTTGCCCAAAACAATTATTTATTCAACCCAACGCAGTGGTTACAACCAACAATAAAACACACAGAGGAGCGGTGGCCTGGTGCACCGAGCAGGGCAGCCGAGAGAGAGCGAGAGCCTATTCTGCAGCCCTCTTAAATACTGGAACCAGGTGCCACAGGTGGGTCTCATCACTGCTGATTACAAGGAAAACCCAGGTTACAACAGCACCACATGGTGGACAACCACAGGGTTGTCACACACAGGGACACAAAAAAACAAAGACACACCTTCATACCCATATTTGTGAAAAAAGGGTATGGCCTCTAGTGTGCAGGGCTGGACGTGTCCAGACATATTTTCCTATGCTAAAACACATTTTGGGGCTCCAGTACTTTTCCCTTGAGCCAGGGGCCCCCTCCTGTGCACGACCAGCTGTGAGTGAAGACAACTGTCTCCCCTCTGCTAAACAGTGACACCCATAAACTATAATAGGCTTAAAACTCAACTTAACAAAACACAAGTGTTTTGTATATACTGTGATTATAGAACAACATGAAATATAATGCATTTTCATGGTGGGTTATACAGGATTATATTTGATGATGATTAACTTTTTTTAAATTATTCAACCTAATATGGAGACCTCAACAAGAGTCTCCAGGGTTGTCCTCAGTCTCTGGTTGTAAATGTCTCTCTGGATCTGAGTTCCTGGCTGGTTCTGGTCCTCCACAGTCCTCTCCATCAGCTTCTGTTTCCATGTGTTCAGCTGAGCTGCTGGCTGGAGGCTCTGCCTCTCTGTTCTCCTCAGTTTGAGTTTGATGAAGCTGTGAGGACTGACGACCAACACACTTATGTCTTTTGACCGAACGACTCCAGGTGAAGCTTTTGTCACAAACACTGCAGCTAAATGGTTTCTCTCCTGTGTGGTTTCTCATGTGTCTCTTTAAATCTGCTCTCTGTGCAAAAGATTTCTCACAGACTGAGCAGCTGAATGGTTTCTCTCCTGTGTGGATTCTAACATGTCTCTTTAAATCTGCTCTCTGTGCAAAATATTTCTTACAGACTGAGCAGCTGAATGGTTTCTCTCCTGTGTGGATTCTCATGTGTTTCTTTACATTTCCACTCTGTGTAAAAGCTTTATTACAGATGGAGCAGCTGAATGGTTTATCTCCTGTGTGGTTTCTAATGTGTTCCTTTAAATTTCCACTCCGTGCAAAAGCTTTATTACAGAGTGAGCAGCTGAATGATTTCTCTCCTGTACTACGTCTTGAATCACTGACAGGGTCTTGTTTATTTTTCGGAGAGATTGAACCTGGTTCTCTGGTCTCCTTCCAATAATCACTGTATTTAGTCCCAGGTTCAGAAGAGTCTCCAGGGTTGTCCTCAGTCTCTGGTTGTAAATGTCTCTCTGGATCTGAGTTCCTGGCTGGTTCTGGTCCTCCACAGTCCTCTCCATCAGCTTCCGTTCCCATGTGTTCAGCTGAGCTGCTGGCTGGAGGCTCTGCCTCTCTGTTCTCCTCAGTTTGAGTTTGATGAAGCTGTGAGGACTGACGACCAACGCACTTATGGATTATGACATGATAGCTCTGTGTGAATCTTTTTTCACAAACACTGCAGCTGTATGGTTTCTCTCCCGTATGGTTTCTCATGTGGCGTTGTAAAGGTCCTTTCAATGCAAAAGCTTTCTCACAGACTGAGCAGCTGAATGGTTTCTCTCCTGTGTGGATTCTCATGTGGGCCTTTAAATGTCCTCTCTGTGCAAAATATTTCTTACAGACTGAGCAGCTGAATGGTTTCTCTCCTGTGTGGATTCTCATGTGTCGATGTAAAGCTCCTTTCAATGCAAAATATTTCTTACAGACTGAGCAGCCGAACGGTTTTTCTCCTGTGTGGATTCTCATGTGTCGATGGAAAGGTCCTCTCGTTGGATATGATTTCTTACAGACTGAGCAGCTGAATGGTTTCTCTCCTGCACTACGTCTTGAATCACTGACATGGTCTTGTTTATTTTTCTGAGAGTTTGGTTCTCTGGTCTCCATCCAATCAGCACTGTCTTCAGTGTCAGGTTCAGAAGAGTCTTCAGTGTCAGGTTCAGAAGAGTCTCCAGGGTTGTCCTCAGTCTCAGATTGTAAATGTCTCTCTGGATCTGAGTTCCTGGCTGGTTCAGGTCCTCCACAGTCCTCTCCATCAGCTTCTGTTTCCAGGTGTTCAGTTTGTCTTTGATGAAGCTGAGAGGACTGAGGTTTCTCTTCATCATCTTCACTCTTCACAGGGACAGGAGTGAATGTGGACTTGGTGATATCAGCCTCCTCCAGCCCTTGAAGCTGCTCTCCCTCCTGACTGATCCAGAGTTCCTCCTGTTCCTCTTTAATGTGTGGGGGGGGCTCTGGGTCCTCCTGGTCCAGACTGGAGCTCCACTCCTGCTGCTCAGGGGGAACCTCTTCTTTAACCACCACCAGCTGCTGGACGTCTGCAGGAAACACACGTGAAATTGTTCGTAAAATCTCAAATTCTGTCTTTTTCTGAAAAATGTCTGAATTTCTAATAATACAGACATCGATCCCCTATTGATTTACATTTAAATGTTTTTGGGCACTAATATAATAGGTTTACAGAGCTGTTGTGTTAAAAAAAAGAAAATAAGATGTTTCTAGATCAATGTATATTGCATTTTACAGCTGAACATGTTTAAGGTTGTGGTTATCCAATTTACTATGGAGGGAGCCTACTAAAATAAAAACAAAATAATTCATTAAATGAACCAAATAAATAAACGTAGGCATTGTTTGATCAGTGAAATGTGACATGAATTTATATTCTTGTTCTCGTAATATTGTCGAGTAATATTTCAGATGTATTGGATCATAATCAAATCTAGGTAAACCTTGATTTATGTATGCATTATTTTACCCCCACGGCTATCCAATACAATTAATAAAGCGTCTGTATGATTGCATGCTCCCTGCGCCGCTAGTCAAAATGGACATTCTTTATTCTGTGATTCTGTGGATCGTATTCCTTCAACTGTTTGCATGTGATGTCAATGTGGCTGTCATTCGGGAGAGGACACAGTACACTAGAGATGTGCTGCTGCAACTGAACATGGCAAGTCTGGCTCGCGTGATAGGTACCACGTTACAGTTACTGGACATTATTCTGAGAAATCCAAATGAAACCTGTGGTGCAACGGGGCACCAGAGGAGGAAGCGGGGTAAACGAGGTGGCGTGAGATTACGCCTGAGAAGGCAGCGGCTCCCTCGGATTCTTCTGCCCTTGATGATCCTGGGGAACGTTCAGTCGCTGAGGAACAAGGTTGACGAGCTTGTCAATGTTCGGTTTCAGAAGAATTTCAGGGACTGCTGTGTTTTGGCCTTCACTGAGACATGGCTCACTGACTGTAACCAGGACAACAATTTGTTTATTGACGGTTTTGGAGCTCCCTTTCGTCTGGATCGAAAGGCGGAAGTGACAGGAAAAACTCAAGGGGGCGGAGTATGTTTGTACGTAAACAAACAATACTGTAGCTCTGTGACTGTCAGAGAACGCATTTGCACCCCAGATTAGGGCTGTGCAATTAATCGTATTTTAATCGCAATTACGATTTTGGCCTGCCACAATTACGAAAACAACATAATCGAAAAAAACGATTATTTTGCTTTGCTAGGTTGTGACAGTGCACTGCAACATATTTGATCTAATTTATTTGTATTTATCATATTTATATATGTTTAGTAGCTTGTGGAAGTGCGCTCCAAAATATTTGTTGATCTTGTTTTTTGGTATTTATTTAAATGTAGATATAAATGTATCATTTAAATTTATTTTTGTATTGGTTTTTTAGTTGAAATACGCTCAGGGAAATCAACAGTTAAAAAGATACTGTTCAAATTATTATTTGTATTTAAAAATTCAATAAATGGATGTTTTCAAAGTCAATGAATAATCGTATTTAATAATCGTGATATCAATTATTGACCAAAATAATCGTGATTATGATTTTTGCCATAATCGCACAGCCCTACCCCAGATGTTGAACTTTTATCCGTTTCATTGCGTCCCTTCTACCTGCCCCGTGAGTTTCTGTCCAACCAGGCGGGATAAAACATTAGACCTGTGTTATGGGTCAGTAAAGGAAGCCTATAAGTCAGTCCCATTACCCCCCACTGGGCTCTGCTGATCATAACTGTGTGCATCTACTGCCCATATACAAAACCGTTTTGAAGCGAGAGAAAACATTGACAAAGGACATAAATGTCTGGACAGAAGAATCTATAGCCTGTTTGCAGGAATGTTATGACTGCACTGATTGGGATATGTTTAAAGAGTCTTGTGGTGCCGACTTGGATGAACTTGTTGATGTAACATGCTCATATACAGCCTTTTGTAAAGACATGATTATTCCGTGTAAGCAAGTCAAAATATACCCTGATAACAAACCATGGGTGACCAAGGCGGTTAAGTCCAGCATTCAGAGAAAGAAACAAGCTTTCAAACAGGGAGTTGCCTCTGATCTGCATAATGCTAATAGGGAACTTAAAATAGAAATTCTGAAAGCTAAACAGAATTTTAAATCTGAACTTCCAAACAAAATGGCTGCAAACAACCTTGGCTCGGTCTGGAGTAGCATGACATTGACTTCCATCAATTCTAATGAAGACATTGGAAAAACTAGTCAGAGCAGAAATCTTAAGGAAGACTGAGCATGCACTCGATCCCATGCAGTTTACAGGCCACACAGAGGAGTAGAGGATGCCACGGTCACCTTACTTAACTTACTTTTTAAACACTTGGAGGGAAATGGATCTCATGCTAGACTTTTATTTTGTTGATTTTTCCTCTGCTTTTAACACAATTCAACCTCATATTCTAATTGGCAGACTTTTAGAACAATTTGAAATAAGCAATAATCTTATGGGCTGGATTCTTGATTTTTTTAACCAATAGGACACAAAGAGTGAGGGTGAATGGGACCTAATCTGATCAAGTCAGATCCTCCACTGGCTCCCCACAAGGATGTGTGCTTTCGCCACTATTATTTATACTTTACACTAATATGTGTCAAAGTAGGTGGGAAAATAGGACTATTTTAAAGTTTGCAGATGACTCTGTAATTGTTAGTAGGCTCCAGGACAATGAGACCAGCCACGGCCCTGTCATTGACGACTTTGTCAGGTGGTGTGAGGAGTCCTATCTACAACTGAACATAAGCAAAACCAAAGACATGATCATTGATTTTAGAAGACATCCCCACATACATGAAGTCTTAACAATCCAGAATCAGAAAGTAGAATTTGTGCAATCATACAAATATCTCGGGACAATTATTGACTCAAAATTGAGCTCTGATCCAAACTGTGAAGCGGTGTGCAAAAGGGGGCCCCAGCATTTGTACTGTCTTAGGAAACTGTCCTATTTTAACATTGACATAACCATGATGATCTTGGTTATGTCAATGTATGTACTTCTTCCTCCTCTCTGTCTGTACCTGTGTACTCTCATGTTCCCAATAACCCAGCTTCCCCCAAGTTTCTTTTTGGTGTCTATCTACGCTGGGATCCTGAGTCGTGGCTGATCCTGAGTCCTGATCTGAGTCCTGGATCCTGAGTCGTGGCTGAACCTGTCACTGTGGTCCTGTGTCCTGGATCCTCTATTCTGAGTCCTGATCTGAGTCCTGGACTTCGAGTCGTGGCTGAACCTGTCACTGCGGTCCTGCCTGACTTTCATCATACTACTTCCCCGATGGCTCTCACAGGATTGTTGACATCCTCGTGGATTCATCTTCTTTTTATAGACACATGCATTTCTAAACATGTGGTCTACCTATGTTGTAAATGTATTATCACACACGGCATCTATTGCACGTCTGTCCGTCCTGGGAGAGGGATCCCTCCTCTGTTGCTCTCCCTGAGGTTTCTCCCATGTTCCTTTAAACTGTGGGGTTTTCTCTGGAAGTGTTTCCTTGTACGATGTGAGGGTCTAAGGACAGAGGGGGTCGTATTGTCATACTGATATTCTGTACAAACTGTGAAGTCCACTGAGACAAATGTAACCTTTGTGATATTGGGCTACATAAATAAACATTGATTGATTGATTGATTGATTGATTGATTGATTGATTGATGATCATGTTTTATCGTGCTTTTATCGAGTCAATTCTGTCTTTTTCACTAATGTCATGGTTTGGTAACCTGACTTTAAAGAGCGGAAACTCTCTGAGTCAGATCGTAAAGTGGTCCAGCAGACTGATTGGTGAGCCACAGCTAAACCTGGAGACCCTGTACCTCAGGCAGTTACAGCGGTTATCCAGCTCCATATTAGACCATGACTCCCACCCTCTGCATTTTGAATGTCCATGTTTGTCTGTTTTCCTTTTTAAAATGTTTTTGAAATATTTTGAGATTGGTTGAGCAGGGTATACTTGTACTTGTACTAGTCCTTTTATTAGAGATGTGTCTGTTGTTTGTGTTTATTTTTAGTGTCAGGATGGATCCCTTGTCTTTTTCTCTGCAAACAAAATCTACCTACGGGGACAAATAAATAACCTGAACCTGAACTGAATAAAGAGAGAACAGACCTGCTCTGTGGATCTGAAGCTGAGGCTGTAAAACAGCGTCCAGTAGTTTCCGGTGTCTCTCGTTCTCCTGTTTTGAACGAGACAGTTCCTCCTCGTACTCTGCTATCGTTCTTTCAAACAGAACAAAGATGTCTTCAGCAGCCGCAGTGAGTCGCTGCTTCACCAACGAGAGCAGCACAACACTCATGTTTACTAAATCACCACTTCCTGTTAAACACACCGTTTCTCCGTGTGCTTCAGTCTCTGTTAAACACACTGTTTCTCCGTGTGCTTCAGTCTCTGTTAAACGCACCGTTTCTCCGTGTGCTTCAGTCTCTGTTAAACGCACCGTTTCTCCGTGTGCTTCAGTCTCTGTTAAACGCACCGTTTCTCCGTGTGCTTCAGTCTCTGTTAAACGCACCGTTTCTCCGTGTGCTTCAGTCTCTGTTAAACGCACCGTTTCTCCGCGTGCTTCAGTCTCTGTTAAACGCACCGTTTCTCCGCGTGCTTCAGTCTCTGTTAAACGCACCGTTTCTCCGCGTGCTTCAGTCTCTGTTAAACGCACCGTTTCTCCGCGTGCTTCAGTCTCTGTTAAACGCACCGTTTCTCCGCGTGCTTCAGTCTCTGTTAAACACACCGTTTCTCCGTGTGCTTCAGTCTCTGTTAAACACACTGTTTCTCCGCGTGCTTCAGTCTCTGTTAAACACACTGTTTCTCTCTGAAGCTTCCTGAGCTGCTGTTCAGCTGGACGGCAGGAAGCAGAGGTTTGGGAGGATGATGTCCCTGATGCTGTTTAGATTTCTCCAGCACCACAGGGGGTCCTGTGTGGATGGCAGCTCCTTCCTCAGCAGATCCAGTTCTAATCACAGAGAAAACAAGAGAAAAATAAAAACAATTATTAATCTTATTAACAAATGATGATCATGACCATCCCTAAAGGATTATTTAAAATTCTGTACTGTTTTGGTTTTTTAAATGTCTATATCTAAACAAAACATGTCTCTGAAGTGTTTGCTCAAAATATAAAACAGACCACCCTTTGTAGCCATGCTTCATACACTGTAAAAAAAAAACTGTAGATTTTGGGTCCTTAGCTTGAAAAAAAAAAGTTAAAGTTCAATTCTGCCGTGAAAAAACGCCATCCTGTTCTAAACCACATCAAGGATTATTTCTGAAACAGTTTGGAGCTCAAATGCTTTTTCTCTTGCGGGTTTACCACAAGGTGAGTTTCTTTTTTTATTTCCTGATTTTTAAACACATGTGCTCTCCAGTACTGTGTTAGCGAGGCTTGCTAATGTAAACACAGACCATATTACGTCCAAAACACGTCAGGCATTGTTTCTGATAGCAATTTTCTGTGGTGCATTTTGCATGACAGGTCCCCTTTAAATGCGAATTTGACAAAACTAACTGTAAAAATAAATGATTTTCTGTTGGCAAAATTAGTTGCATTTTCTCCCAACCGCAGGGGGGCCGTGATCGGCACGGGGTTGGACCTCGCTGAAAGGAAAACCCCCCGCATGACTTGATACGCCCCCTTGATAAATAAATGTAATTAAAATGAAACCAGCTGCAATGGATCATGGATCCACCAGGGGGAGCAGTGATTAAAAAGCTGCCACACTGGAACTCATGTTAAATGAACAGCTGATTACTATAGCGGTCTGGATCTTTGTTAAGATCCATATGTCACGGATAGGATCATAGTTTGTGCTGAATAAGAGACATGTAATCATTTACAAAACATCACCATGTTTTTATTTAACAAAATAATGTTGTTTAATCCACGTTGGCGTACTACAACAACAAAAACCATCGGTTTGTTTTTTCATCAGGAAATGCAGCCGGGCTCAAACAAACAATTGTTAATCATCATCCTCATGATCATTTAATGTATCATATGTTCGCCGAATTGACATGAAAGCACTAACAAATATGAATTTGCTGTAGTCAACTTCATTAACCTGTTAAGCCCGAGAGACCCCGTTACCGGGGCTCTGCCGCAACATCTTGCAGGAAACAGTGTCTGAGGGCATGTTGATTTAATAAACTATGAATGTTTTATATCCATGTAACGGGAAGAAACTCATCTAACTGATCTTTTTAATTTATTTTTCAAAAGAAAACCCACAATGCTAACACTGAGCCTCTGAATTAGCAACGAGCGAAAAATGCTAACAGATTACTGTACCGAAAATCACTCACAAAACCTTATTATTTATCTTTTCACCACATCCAACACATCGTTTCACATCGTGAGGTGACACAGAATCGATGGGTACCCTCATTATCACTGAATTATATGGATTCGCGACGTTATAAACAAAAACAGACATCAAAACAGATGACGCTAGGTAGCTAAAAATGCTAACAAGGTTACCTTGGCTCTGTAGTCTCTCCAAAGTGGTCTTCAATGGCATTAAAACGATAAAAATGCTGCTGAAGTTAATCCATAGGTTAATCCAATGTGTCTGTGTCCCTTTGAAATGATTTCTGATAATCCATGCTATTCCGTTTATAGATGTCAGAGCTAGAATGTAGGTTCACTCTAATGCAAAATTACATGCGCAAAGCCCCCAGCTTTTTGTTTCACAATGAGTGTGTGTGGGGGACTCCACCTTCGATTCTATTGGCTCTAACGGTCAGAAAGAGGTGTCAACCATCAAAATCGAGCAAGGGGGGCCAGAGATATGGAAAATCCACCCAAATGACCCCAGAAGTGGTTTCTTTTGGCTAAATCTCTCTAAAAAGGTCAAATGTCACTTGTTTTGCATCAATCTTGATACAGGGTACTTATTATATGTTGTACTTTGGATTCCTAAAGCTTTTAGTCTACCTTACCATTTGATGATTGATGAGGATTTGTAGTCTTTCTAGTTGCGTATTTTTCATAGTCTTATATTTCAACAGTTTTACGACAAACTGTGACTTTTTTGACATGGAAATGATTGTTTAAGATTGACAAACATCATATGTGTAATTCGTGGCACAATTCAAACGGGATCAAAAGATACGTTTTCTCTGTCCATTGACTTCAATGTATAATTTTTCCGAAATAAGGTCCCATGGGGACTCCCAGAAGGGGAGGGACTTTGCCTCTCTATTGTTCATCAGTGTAGTAGTAGCAGATGTTGACGAAAAAGTTAAAGTATACTTGGGCTTTTGCAAAAGTAAAATGACATGTTTTCTTTGTGTTTAACATGTAAATGGTCTCAGATTTTATGAAGTTTGCTGACGACAGGACCGTCATCGGCCAAATCACCGACGGCAACGAGACGGCGTACAGAGGGGAGGTCAAAAACCTGACATCTTGGTGCATCTCAACGTCAGCAAAACCAAGGAGCTGATTGTGGACTACAGGAAGCAGCAGAGAGAGGGACACGCCCCCATCGCCATCAATGGGAATACGGTGGAGAGAGTCAGCAGCTTCAGGTTCCTCGGTGTCCACATCACTAAGGACCTGACATGGACTCATCACTGAGGACCTGACATGGACTCATCACTGAGGACCTGACATGGACTCATCACTGAGGACCTGACATGGACTCATCACTGAGGACCTGACATGGACTCATCACTGAGGACCTGACATGGACTCTTCACTGAGGACCTGACTTATCACTGAGGACCTGACATGGACTCATCACTGAGGACCTGACATGGACTCATCACTGAGGACCTGACATGGACTCATCACTAAGGACCTGACATGGACTCATCACTGAGGACCTGACATGGACTCATCACTGAGGACCTGACTCATCACTAAGGACCTGACATGGACTCATCACTGAGGACCTGACATGGACTCATCACTAAGGACCTGACATGGACTCATCACTAAGGACCTGACATGGACTCTTCACTGAGGACCTGACTCATCACTGAGGATCTGACATGGACTCATCACTGAGGACCTGACATGGACTCATCACTAAGGACCTGACTCATCACTGAGGATCTGACATGGACTCATCACTAAGGACCTGACATGGACTCTTCACTGAGGACCTGACTCATCACTGAGGATCTGACATGGACTCATCACTGAGGACCTGACATGGACTCATCACTGAGGACCTGACATGGACTCATCACTGAGGACCTGACATGGACTCATCACTGAGGACCTGACTCATCACTAAGGACCTGACATGGACTCATCACTGAGGACCTGACTCATCACTAAGGACCTGACATGGACTCATCACTGAGGACCTGACTCATCACTGAGGACCTGACATGGACTCATCACTGAGGACCTGACTCATCACTGAGGACCTGACATGGACTCATCACTGAGGACCTGACATGGACTCATCACTGAGGACCTGACTCATCACTGAGGACCTGACATGGGCTCATCACTGAGGACCTGACATGGACTCATCACTGAGGACCTGACATGGACTCATCACTGAGGACCTGACTCATCACTGAGGACCTGACATGCACTCATCACTGAGGACCTGACATGCACTCATCACTGAGGACCTGACATGGACTCATCACTGAGGACCTGACTCATCACTGAGGACCTGACATGGACTCATCACTGAGGACCTGACTCATCACTGAGGACCTGACATGGACTCATCACTGAGGACCTGACTCATCACTGAGGACCTGACATGGGCTCATCACTGAGGACCTGACATGGACTCATCACTGAGGACCTGACATGGACTCATCACTGAGGACCTGACTCATCACTGAGGACCTGACATGCACTCATCACTGAGGACCTGACATGCACTCATCACTGAGGACCTGACATGGACTCATCACTGAGGACCTGACTCATCACTGAGGACCTGACATGGACTCATCACTGAGGACCTGACTCATCACTGAGGACCTGACATGGACTCATCACTGAGGACCTGACATGGACTCATCACTGAGGACCTGACATGGACTCATCACTGAGGACCTGACATGGACTCATCACTGAGGACCTGACTCATCACTGAGGACCTGACATGCACTCATCACTGAGGACCTGACTCATCACTGAGGACCTGACATGGACTCATCACTGAGGACCTGACATGGACTCATCACTGAGGACCTGACATGGACTCATCACTGAGGACCTGACATGGACTCATCACTGAGGACCTGACTCATCACTGAGGACCTGACATGGGCTCATCACTGAGGACCTGACATGGACTCATCACTGAGGACCTGACATGGACTCATCACTGAGGACTAGAGATGGGTATCGTTTTAAATGTATCGATTCCGATTCTTATCGATTCCCCGTTTCGATTCCAAAATTGTAAAAGAAAGAGGTCAAACGTTTAGATAACAAAAATATCTTTATTCTTTTAAGCTTTAACTGACATTTTTACA